TGCTTCAGGCCAGAATAGTGCACCTTGCTACACTCAGACCTGGTTCCTCCAACACACAGTCAGGAATTTTTGGTCGATTGTGAATTTTGTCAGCTTAAGTATAGCAAATCGTTAACTTTATGACACAACTCTTCATCTAACAGTCCAGATCAACTGTATACCCACAGTAGATGTAAACATAGAGCATTAAATGATTTTTATATGACTGTCATCTGTATTAATGGCTGCTCTATTCATCACTGCAGTATTTGTACTATCAAGGTGCCAAAGATGGAATCTTCACTCTTAAACACATGTCTGTAATTATCTGTAGACTATGAATGTCACAAGCACTATCACAGGAACCTCATATCCACATTAAAGCATTGAGCGAAAATGTTTTAAATGCAGTAAAACTGAAAATGTACTCATCTCAATGGATGGGGAGCCCACATGTTGCGTTTCTTTAACTGGGCTTTTTGATGCAAATCAAAGGTTGCGTGGAACAGCCACATACTCCTTCCCCAAACGCCCGCCCCTCCAGTGTTGTTTTATCCTCTTCTGCTCTCCCAGCTGAAGACTCACAAGTGAATCTTAGTAAACTTTTGGGGGGAAACCCCAGTAACTCGTCACTTTTCCCCTCTTGTTAAAAACTGTTAAACTTATTAAAAGGAGTGGGTCGTGATAATTCATAAATTAAGGAAATTTGTTCAAGCCCAGAGCTAATCTGAATATGGTAGAATTATCAGTAAATTATTAATGATTCTTAACTAAGTCTAAAGTATGCAAAACGTCAGCAGTTCATTGGCCTGGGATTTCACATCTTCCTAGTGCGTGTGCTGCCCTGGGCTGTGTTTGGTTTGGTAAAGATACTTCTAGGGGTTTTTAGAGCTGCTCTTGGAAACCTGTTTAAAAATAAAGTACAGATTAACACCTTAAAAGAGACAGTCTGTAGCATTTCATATACTTCTTCAAGTGCCTACAAAGGAAGGCCAACATTTCTTACAGTTATGATAGCTACGATTGGCTTTCAATAGAGAAGGGATATCCAGGCTTATCTTGGACAACAAAACCCTTAGTGTGTCTGTCAGTCTTTACCTCTGAGCTGAATTTTATTGGCTCAAATCTGGGCTTCCAGTTTCTAGAGTCTAAGATGGATCATTTTCTAATCTACCTGAGGAGGGACTTTGTTCGCAGTATATCAAAACTGTGACTATAATAGAGTCCAGGCCAGGCCAAGTAGCGCTGGAGCCTTAATGAACTACAGATTGTCTTCAAGCAGCACAGGCACCGTGGTACCAGTGCTTGCTTTTAAAGACAGGGAAGAATGACAAGGTATTTCTTTGCCTTTACCTCCTGGGTTGAGACCGCTAGAGAACTTATAAAACACAGGCAGTCAGTCAGGTCTTGGTGTTTCATTCAGCCTGACCATTTATAGCTTAGAATCCATTATTTTCTAAAAGTAGAGGCCTCCTAATAGGGCCGGTTTCCTAGTGTTCAGTGAATTGAGTCTCATATTTATTGGTCGGGTTTTAGATGCCAGCTGTTAACAGCCTTACTGCTGAAAGAGTCTGGTTGTGTAAAAGTGAAATAGGTATGTTTATGAAGCTTCAGTCAGTTCGGTATCTCCACCGTGTTACTCCGCCATACGAACTTGGTGCTTTCAATGGCTTCATTTCCTCAGTACACAACTGGCAGTAATTACCAAAGCAAATTTGGGGAGGCTTGATGTTAAAGGTTTACATTATTTAGATGAGCATATAGCTACATTGTAGTATTTTGTATCTGGGGGGAGGAAAATCCTCCTCATGTAGCAGGAAAATCTTGCAGGTCATGGAGATGACTATGAGCATTGACACCCACAAGGTATTCCATCTGCCGCTTGGCTCACAGGGTCCTGGGTTCCTCAAGCTGTATAAGCTGGGGGCAGTGGGGGAATTGTTCTGTGAGATGCAAAGTAAAACAGCAGCCTTAGTTTAAAAAGAGTAGGCCTTGTGTAACATTTATAGTAAAGTTGGTAGGCCATGCAGTAAGTTTAGCAATGCTGTCCAGCCAGATTAGATTTCTTTTGTAAAAGTTGATAGTAGTTGAAACAATAAGTCTGCAGTCATTCCCCCATTTCTGAGGGGCTACATCATGGGTAGTTGTAAGGATTGTTAAGATCCAGGATTTGTTTCATTTTCCTTGTTTCCATGTTTCCGATGGGCGTCAGATGACTGCTTTAAACTCCTGTCACCACTGGAGAGATGCAGTTTCTGCCTTCAGGTGCTTCACAGTCTCTTAGCGCCTTCACACTAGTGGTCGTGACATGTACACACAAAAGGATTTTGAAAATGATATAATCCCTTATACATTTTCAGGTTGACATCTGAAAGTTTTTATTATAAATTTAAATAGTTGCAAAGGAGACAATTTTCTGGCAGAGTAAATAGTTACATTTACAATTTAAGATAAAACAATTACATTTTGAAGTGTTTTCTGTGGAACTACCTAGCAGTTTGATACCCACCATTGTTCATTTAAAA